CTAATTTCCTTGTTTACACATCAAAGCCGCTCATCAGTGAGATCGCGAAATTCGACCCTAATCCGGCATATGCATTGTGTTCTAAGTTATCCTATCTATTTCGGGATCGGGTGGGCTCTGATTAAAATTCCTCGAACCTCCAAAAAAGAGCTCGAGCTCATTTCTATTTTATATGATCCGATTATTTTCAAAAAGGAAAGGGAAATAGGCTAATCATAGCAATATTCATGAGCAAACGAGAACACAAGTATATTATGATCAGCTAACAAGTGCGACATCAGCCTTTTTTAAGGGTGTGATAAGTATACTAGCCACAGATTTAATTAATTTTGAAATGTCAAATGGAAACTATTTTTCCACCTATGATTTATGTAGCTATCTGAGGGTATTTTCAGAAAATAAAAAAAGAAATATCGATGAAGAGCTTTGCTTACAGAAATGTGAGTAACTGTTAGAATCAGAGATAGATCAAGAAGAAAAAAAAAGATAGCACTATAGAACTATTTTATTAGACAGATTAATAGAAAAAAAACCCTAATCTTAAAGCTCAAAATATGTTATTATTGAAAAGTTAAAATAAAATGCAAGTTTCAATGCTCTATGAATTAAAAAAAAAACTCAATTACAAAAAAATTTCGATACAAATGAATGGTATGAATTAAGACATAAAATTGAATCATCAATTAGAAAGGGGAAGTTAAAAAATATAAAATTTGCCGTATTTTAAACTTTTTTTTTTTAAAAAAAAAATCTCTTTTTTTTAAATTTATATTTCTTATACTGGTGTAAGTTAAGAGAATTTGCAGACTTGGTCGATTATCTCTAGAGCTTCTGGACCGATTTTAATCAAATTTGATACGTAGATACATTGATACAATACAACGCAAAGAACCATTCAACAATTGTAATACACACGCATTATCGTGCGTAACACTTGTTGGAGTTAGAAGGTATGAAACAGTGGTTGTAGATTGAACAAAAAAAAACATTTCTTATTTATGAATGCTGAAAAATGTTTATGTCATGCAATGTTATTCGTGGTCATTTTCCTGCACCTCAATGTGAGCGATGATGCTTCTACCCTATATAAAGTCACTTTTCTCTATTAATATTATGTTAAAATAATTTTGGATTGATTATACTAGGAAATTCATTCGGTACATTACCTAAAACTAATTTCATTTCAAAGATCACTATTTGGTGAAAAGGTGGGTAGAGAATTTTCAAACTTTTACTTACAGCAAAAAATTTACCGTAAACTTGTTCTTTTGGGCTTTTAATCAAATTTAAAAATTTTCTTTTTATAATTGCAAATAAACTGGAGGAACAAATGATGAAATGAATGAACCACAGAGAAAATAGCTCCACAGTGTTGGCTTCTTTTCTTAAACCAACACTAATCTTTACAGTAACCTGCATTTCTGTACGCAAAACTCTTCATCAATATTTTTTTATTTTTTTAAAAATATGAACAGATGGCTACACAAAATCATAGGTGACAAAATAATTTCCCTTAGACATTTAAAAACTAATGAAGTTGGTAGTAAGTATGCTTACCACGGCCTTAAATGAAGGTAGCATTTATACTCATTATATACTTGTGTTTCACTTAATTGTTATTGAGAAGAACTGGAGTTCGATCCCCAGTAGCGGCTTTTTTANCACCTAGCTTCATATCGATGGGTACCGGCCTGCCTGAGAAGCAAAGGCGGTCTGCGTGCAGTGCAGGCCATATTACCACAATCATGCCGTTGGTCACGAAATTGCAGAGCCTCGACCTCCATGGCTCTCCTGGCCCGCAACTGACTGTTGTGGGAATGCTTTGCTATTTATATACTTGTGTTTTTATTTATTCCTGTATATTTAACTATGCTTAGTCAATTTCCATCTCGTTTTTAAAAATAATCGGCACGCATGCACCAAGTTTTATCCATTACGTTTTTTTTTTTTTTTTTTTTTTTTTTTTTTTTTTTTTTTTTTTTTTTTTTTNTATCAATGTATTTTGATTTTGAAAAAAAAATACTTTCGCTTAAAACCGCTTTCGGGTTTTAACACATCTTTGATTCACGTGCTACCCAGTGTCCTCGTATACTAAAACCTTTAAAAATGCATTTTGCAAAAAATTGAAAATAGTAAGCTAAAAAAAAATTTCACGGAATGATTGATATCGTATTATTTTTTTAATCAATTTTCAATAAACTGTGTTTTATTCAATTCAAAAAAAAATATAGGAGCTTTCAAAGATTTTTCTAAAATGTGTATTCAAAAATTAAAAATTAAAATTTGAAACTGAGAATTCCATTTAAATGTTCTTTGATTCATCTGCAATATTATAAGAAATAATACATGCTTTAGTATGTTACAAATAGTAATTAATTTAGTAAACATGACAATAAATTTTCATGCTCTCATTACATATATAGCACAGTTTATAGAAACAAAATATTAGAAGCTCCATGCTTATGAATAGGTTTATATATACTAAAACATATTTCGAAAGCAAAACATTCTAAGTTTCCTGAGGCTATTTATGTAACAAAATTGTTTGTTTAGAACAAAATACAATCTTAAATATTTATATAAATGTATGTATTATAAAAAAATATGATAATAAATGTATTTAAAAACCGTCCTACCAATGTAAATTTTCTTCTTAGAAATATAAATAATAATTGTTTGATTAATAAATCTATTTCCTAACTTAGGAATAACCAATGTGAATGAAATGAATCATCACAAGAATCAGAAGTGGAAAAATATGATTGACAATTTAAATACTTCATAAAAAACTAGCATGTTTCAAGCTCTCAGAAATAAGCACCCATTCTCAAGATTCATGAGACATGAATGAAAAAAACTAAAGAGATTTGAAAAAAAAAATTCAAATATAGAATTTAAAATAATGGTGGCAAAAAAACGTAGTAGCAGAGGGGTAAATCAGGACAGAATACTCTTATTAACGCAGAAAGGGGTGGGTGAGTGGCACTCTTCCTTAACCAGGGAATTGGCATTCATATGAATGGAACAAGATTCCAGAGGATCAAGATAAACTGACGTGACAGAAGTGGAAAGACTTTCGGCGCTATCGAAATTGAATTTATGCCTAAAGTACTAACAATGCACAGCAATGCATTATTTATCGAAATTTTGATGAGGATTGTACTTGCATTTACCTATTTAAAATTGTTTTGTTTACCACAATCATGTCTGGTGGGTCTAGGGAATGGGCGCCTATTTCTGAGAGCTTGAAATATGTCAGTTTTTTGCACCTTCATAATTTATGAAATAAGTGAAATATTTGCATTATTAAGTAAACCAATGTTAATGTTTGCTGAAAAGTTATGGTATTATTAACACTAGAAAGACGGAGCCTTTTTTGGCTCCTCTTCTTTTTTGTTGGATAGTATTTCAAGAAATAATTTATTGTAAGTACTGAGTATTTCTGACTTTTCATGATTTAATTCAATTTTAATGCTTATTTGATCATTTATGTGTAAGCCTCATAGGAACATATACATAATACCTTAAATCTGGAATGACGAGAGGGCCATAGTTGCCCCTTAGGTATTTTGGTAGATAATCGTAAAGTACCTCATGCTCAGTACCTGAGCATGAGGTACTCTTTGGTAGGTAAAAAGTGCGCTAGTTTCATTGAAAAGCAAAAAAATGATCATCACCATATTAAATATACGATTATATTTAATTTGCGAACGCTAATTTTCTTCTCTGAAATTTAGGGAAAATATCAGTTAACAAATGCTTGTTTCAAAAGTGCTTTCATAAATGTTTTTAAAATTTAACATGAGTACTGGAATATATCTCACACAGCACAATGAGTTGATAGATTTTCAGAATATTTTTATCTATTTCAATCACGACTTCAATATGTATACCGATATTCATGCTTTTTTAAGGTACAAGATCAGGAATGTTTAGTAGAGTTTATGTATTATTTTGTTATGTATGTTATGTAACATTTCAAATCTTGCTAAAAACTCATACTCTCAAAAACTTTTCAAGGACCTAAAATCTTTAATATGTAACATTTTGACAGAACATAAGACATTTCTGGAATGAAATAGCAAACAACAACATAAATAAAGCAGAAGTTAAAGTGCAAAAATGGACATACTATAGTTTCAGTGTTATAATCCCTCCGTGTCTAAATGCCGAATGATGGTAGACAAGTAAAGAGAGAAACACGCGCAGATGCAAGAGACAAATAAGTGGAAACTAAATTTTAAGTATCAGTTTTCTTCTGCTAAAATCATTCAACAGTGCTCTTCATCAACCAAACTTTATTTCAGAGAATCATTCTATATTAAGAAAAATTTTGATAATTTAGTGAACGATATTTCTAATGTCTCACCTTTTTTCAATATTTCCCAGTTTATTTTTAATTTAATCTGTTATATTCTTGGGTTCACAACCGAATCCCCTTCGAATTTTCTGGATCAAACTTGTTCTTCCGCTCGTGTTGGTTAAATCGCTTTACACGTGCTTTTCTCTTTATTTCTCTACAATTATTAGGAATTGTTTTCCCGCTTAGACATCGAGGAAAGTTTTTGTTTATGAAACTGAAACTATAGTACGTCCGTTTATGCACTTTCATTTGTGCTTTATTCAGTTTGATATTTGCTTTAGTCCACATAGCACAAAATATACCCTATTTTCTACTGGATTACTAGAATGTTTTCTCTTCTATACTTTTTTGTATTCCTGACTCCATTATATTATTTCGATGTGGTGCGATAAACGTAATAAAATATAAAACAAAATTTATAACATTTAAAACAAAAGAGCATTATTAAGCGTCAGCGATTTTTTCGTATAATTTAGTTTACTCTTTTGATCACTGAAACTGTTTGTGGTGTGTGAGATAGTTATGCTGTGTGTGCATTCTTATTCATATTTAATACTTAAAATAAACATTGATTTGACTAACAGAGAAAATATGAATTTTGCAATGAATTATTGAGTAATAATTGGAAGATTCTCACCAGTCCAACTAGAATAAATAATACTATAAATCCTCTTCCTAAACTAGTTTCGCAATATATATCACCATATCCTACTGTTGACATCGTTACTATCAAGAAATATACACACTCCCAATAAGTTAGTTCATGAGGATTAGAAAACTCCAAAGGATCACCAGAATTTTCTAACTGAAAAACAAGAGATAACATCTCATTAAAATAGTGTCAATTTAATAACATCACGGTAACCAAAGAAACGCTATACAATAAAGATATACTTTTACACAGCATTATAAATAATGCTTTTTTTAAAAATAGTTTCGGTGGAATACAAACAAAAAAATGGTGTAGAAAAAATTGGTTAATAAAGCATTATTTCATGGACTTTCTCGGAAAAGGAGGTTTTCACTGAGTTCTTGCATAAATGCAATTTTTGTCAAAAAAACGTGAATTGTTTTTTTTTTTCAATTTTGAGTTAATATTTTCAAAAAATTACTAATTAAGATTGATAGAGAAAGGATTAAAAATATACCTTAAAATATTTTGTGTTGCTCAGCTTCATATTTCGAATCAATTCAAAGCAAAGCGAATTTGTAACTTCGATAAATGGTCATTAATTCTGATTCGCACTAGAACAATATTCAAATGTTTTTCTTCGATTTTAAATTCTACGTCCATTTGCACAAAATTTATTTTAATTAAATTTCTCTGCAGTATTCCTACACTGTTAGAATTTTAATCTTAAAATTACTGTAAAATTATCACCAAATTAAGTTTACGGTGAAGAACATATTTTACTTTTACGGTTTTAAAGCCGTTAACATCTAGTATGGTTAAAAAACCATGTATACAAAACTATACGTTTTCTTTTAATAATTTACAACTAGAAGGGTTTCAAAAGATAAATTTAACTGGACATTGGAGCTTGGCTTAGAAGGAAATGTGTTGATGGGAGCGGAGGAAATATTGCGCTGTCAACGCTGAGATTTGAAATCCGATTCTGCAGGTCATGAAATTGTTAGATTACCCCTCTCAGCTATAACGTGTGTCCAGCCGTAAGAAACTAAGTGGCTTCATTAGGTGTGTTCAGTTGGGGTGATAAAATTCCGGTTGTTTAACCATGTTAGATGAAAGCAGTTAAACGGTTTTTCACCGAATTAACAGTTTAAATACCTTTTTGTTTATGGTTATTAGACAGCTTTGTTTTAATATAGTAACATAATAATTAAAAAACTTGTCATTTAGCCATTTTTTCCAAAAACTTTTTAAAAGTGTATTATCTACACTCAATTTGCCATATTTAACTATTTTTTTCCGAGAAATTTCTAACACTATACAGTATATTGATGAAATATTCGGCATTCCAACATTAGTTCAGCAAAATTTAAAAAAATTCGATTTTCTGAAGCTAATTCAAATTTTTCTAATTAAAGAATATTTTAATTCATGTAAGCAGCACCCACATTGATATAATTATCATTTCTTTGCTCCAATTTTTATTATTTAGTCTTATTTTCAATGCAAAATAAAAGAATTAAAGTCGGCTTTTAATTGAAACTAAAACAGTGTTTAAAACCTAGAGTAATAGCATGCCAAATATTTATGATGCATATTATGATCATATTTTAAAAAATACAAATTTTGAACTTACATATTGTTTAAAGCATTTATTTGTGGCATGAAAGGATACATGTTTATTAACTTATTTTTATGCAGCATTTATGATGCGATTTTTTTCAAAATATGCATATTTGAAAAACTAAATTCCCGTAAACAATTTGATGTGAAGTCTTTGTTTAAGATGTTGCATCAAAATACTTAAGATGAAATAAATGTTGTTTGAAAAAATAGCAATGAATACATGAAAAGTGAATAAATTCATCGTTTATTATTTTCATTTAAGTAAATGTAAAAATGTTAAAAAATACGAAATTTCGTAATTTTCCAGTATTTTATTATAATTTGAGAAAAGGAAAAAAATATTTCCGGAAACCAAAAAAAGTTGGATTTAGAAGAATGCCGAGGAAATAGGGCGTTATTCTCGCTCTTAATAAAAAATGAAATAAAAAAAAAACTGCATTTTAGCTAAAGAATTTTACATTCTAATTTAAGAAGATTCTAAGTTTTGCTTCTTTTTCAGCTCGAAATTAATACCAGTAAGAGTTATAATGAGTTAAATTTGTTAATTACGGAAGGAAATCCAGTTTAATTTGACTTTCTGACAAAACATATCATTTCAATCAATAAAAAAGCGTTTTAATGAAAATGCAGATGTACATTTGTAACAATGAATGCATCCATTTGAAATGAATATTCTTTATTAAAGATGTAAAGTATTACAATTCGCTCTTTATAATGAGAAGGATTTTCTTAAAGGCGATCATTATTTCATCGAAATGTTGAACCTTTAAGAAATTTTTTGACTAAAATGAGTTCAAAGCAGCCTTAAGAAAGTTACTCGCCATGTTCTATTGTCAATACAACTTTTATAGAATCTTGTGAAAAGTCAAATATTTCATATTTGCGACTTAAAAGCTAGTTAGAAAGTGCAATATTTTTCTGTTTTAATTAGAGGGAAATAAATTGTCTTCATGGATTATAGCTTTATGCTTAATGTTCTTTTGTCATATGAAAGTGAATAATAATCATAATAAGTGAATTTTTTAATGAATAATAAAAATAAATTTATCAATCACTAAAAATTTAGATTGTCCATTTTATTTCCTTTTAAAAATCTATTTAAAAATAAATCCGGAATTTCTATTTGAAAACTCATTTTTAGTGGATTTTTTTTAAAATTATGAATTATTCATAATTTTGAACTCTACGATTATGCTTTATTCATAACTGTTAGGTCGTGTTTTGTTCAGAAGTTAGACTGTGCTTTGTTCAAGTCTATCGGGTTACGCATTTTTAAGATGTCTTACCTTTCTGTTAACATCTTTAAAAAAATGATTTAAGGAAAGGAAAGTTATATTTGAGAAATGAAAAAGACAGTTGTAAATTGGGAGTTAAATTGAATGATATCTCATATGAGACCTGGAATATTGCTTGAAAATTCATATTCAATATTTTTAAATATTGAGAATACTTGATGTTAAGAAGCAGGTTTTTAGTACAGGATTAAAAAATCTATATTTTATAAATTTAATTAAAGGATTGTATTTTATCTACATTCATTTTAGTGCAAGTGTTAGAAATCATAAAACATTAAAAAGTATGTAAGATTTTGAAGCAACCAATCATATTTCAATTAAGGAATCCAACATTGTAAAAAAGTTCGAATCAAGAATACGGTAAAAAATATAAGCCGTCAGGGTGCTGGTAAAATCGTAATAAGGGTTTATCGTAAAATCATTTTTCCTTTTTTTAAAATCCTTTCAGACTGAGACGTGTTACGGAACAAAAAATCTGATTACAGTAATAATTATCCAAAATTCATTGAATTACTCTGATTAAACATTGATTACTGTAAAAATTACGATATAATATTTTATGGTAAAATGGATTTTACGGATGATGCACCCGAAGTGCGGCTACTTTATACCGTAATTTAATACAAAATTATTCACACAGCATATTAAATGATTTTTTACTCTCAGGAAATTATTCGTTTAAAAGCATTGAAAAAACTAGTTTTATTTTTATCAGAAAAAGACCTCATAATGTTCCCTCAATTTAAGTGGGGCATTTGCGGGGATTAATTCCTCTGTTTTTTCTTCTTTATATTTGTAGATGAAACATATGCTTACAATATGAGTGTTGGTAGCATGTTCCTTTTAAATAAAACATAAAACTAACCAAGTGGATGATACCAGCTGCTGTCAGCCAGACACTGATGACAATTGAAACTAATTGTGCCAATCGTATAGATGAGCTTGTTTTCAAAACATTCAAGTATTGTAAGATGTCCGGTACAGACATCAGTCGCAGCGCTCTCAGGAAACGCAGGCCTGGAATAAACCACAGCAATTTTAATTGTGACAAAACATCATTTACAAAAAGTCATTAAAGTAAACATCATTAAAGTAATTAAATTCAAGGGTATTTAGAAACTCTTTTATTAAAATAGAGCAGAGACATGCTACCCATACTTGAAGTATCACTGAAAATTTAGATTACTCCCGAAGGAACCCATTTTTAAATAATTTAAAATTAACGAATTGAACTTTAGTACGATATTTCACCGATATGTGGCACTGCAACTGTAATACTTGTGAAGTTATATTCAATACACTAGGTGTCTCAAAAATGATCGATGATTTGAAAAATCTATTAAAATCGAACTTAGATAGCGCTTGTTAGAAAATAAGGTAAATATATTCATAAAATTTTTAAATTCGTTTCAAAGTTCGTAAGTAGAGTTCAATGGTAACTGAGGAAAACAAATATTGTTCTAAAACTAATAACTTTTTCCAGTAACTACGAGGGGAGAACAAAAGTGAGTTTGTCTCCAGTGTAAATATTTAAGTTGAAGTGGTTCGACACTTTTTAGACTGCATTGTTTTATTTTTTCCTGGTTAGCAGTATGATCTATTGGCGAACTTTGTTGGCTACTTAATATTTGACGAGAACAAGTTTTCTAGTCTGCTAAGCAGAACGCATATCACTTTTTGTTTTATATCACTTTTTGTCTCTATTTGAGACATTTTAAGATACATTTTAGCTTTAGAAATAAATTTTAAGAGTGTTACAATATTTTCAAAATATCTTTCTACACAGCTCAAAAACGTAATTAGTATGCTTTTTCTGCAACATTTCTAAGTGAATTGTTGTAAACGATCTAATGAATAGTAGAATTCCTTAACGTAAATGGAATTTCGCGCATGGTCCGTAAATTTTTCTTTCCTTCTTTATTTGTTAATTTCTAGCATAACGCATTTTGAAATTAGAGTAATCGTCTTAGTAAAACCATTGGAAAAATGAAAAATGCGTGCTTGTAAGAAATCTCTCTCTCTTTCTCTCTCTCTCTATATATAGCACAATAAAGACAAAAAGGATAAAAAGAAGTGCTTCTGACACTATTGTATTGATATATTTTGCTTTGGCTATATTGATACATTATTAGAAAGCCCTCCATTTTGCGGATATAATCATGTGAGCTGAGATTATATATTTTCTTTACTTTGTTCTCAGACTATTTAATTTTTTTTTAATAAAAAAAATTTTTGTTTTAAATATTTTCAAAAATATTTTATTTTAATAATTTTTCTTCTTTTCTTCTTCTTAATATTTAAATTTTCCATGTGAAATCTTTTTCTCTCTCTCTCTTTATATATATATATATTTNGTTTTTTATCAGATTTTGAAAGAGTTTATCGATTTGTATTTTGGATAAATAAATATTACTACATATTCTTTTAATTCTGTTCATTTCATATATATATATATATATATATATGATGCGGGCAACATCTAGTGAGCAAATAATTAGTTATAAGTTGATACATAATTAGTGAAGTAACGTAATTAAGTCGAAAATTTCCTTTCATGGAAGAAAAGAGAGGCACCTTCGGTACATTAAACAATAAGTTTATTTTGCCTCAACTGAAATTAGCACTATACTTAAAAAATTTTAATGAAGTTTCAAAATTATTTAGTTATTTCTCGGTGAATTTATTAGCAACTGTAAGCACATTCAATATTTAAATGCCGGTCAAAGCTTTTTAAAAGTATAGTGTGCAAAAAAGGCGGAGTACCCTGAATAACTCTTAAGCTAGTGATCGGATCTACACGCTCTGGGACTCAATTTGATGGTTAAAAGAGCTGGCTTCAAATATACTGTTGCAGATACCTCCGCTAAGTACTCTTTTGTGTCTTATGAAGTACGCTTTTGTGTCTTATTTCATTACTTAAAATATCGTCTGCTCAAATTAATTAACATATTTGTGGTGTCCATAAAGTTAAACCATAAAGATTGAGTCCTAGAACGTGAAGATTTGGTCAGTAGATCAAAAAATATTGTGGGTGCTCTTGCGCACATTTGAATTTTTGAGAAATAAAAAATTAGTTTTACCTATCCACGTCCTTCCTAAGTAGATGGATATAAAGGAGGGCGGAATGGTAAAGTAATCCACGAAGGAATAAAGCTCCAGCAAGAACCATAATTTGTCGCTAGCGGCGATAAACTGGAAAAAATAAAACATTCTTCTTTAGAGTAAAACAAATATTTCATTAATGTGGTTAAAATTTTTTCTTTCCGGTTTAAAAATTAAGTTCGACAAACACGTGAATAAGTTTTGTAACAAAAGGTTTTCCTTATTAGAACCATGGAAAAAGTTTAGACGATATTTTTTGCTGTTGAAGTAAGACGAAAAGCAAGTTTATTACTTTTACATCTTTAACTGAATAGGTAGTAAATATTGTAGTTTATTAAATTATAGTTAAAATTTATAAGTGCATTATTCAAAAATGCTGTTTAAAATAAAAGATTGGTCTCCAACTAAATTATAATTTTTACTGAGCATAATTTTTACTGAATTTTTAAAAAATTTTTTATACAATGAAATCCACTGTTTCTTAATGAATCCACTGTTTCTGAATGATAATTGATTTGTTCTAACAGCGGAAATCCTCATTTGGAGTTGATTTACTCTTTGATGCAGAATTTTTATTAAATGGATTTTTCCAACTTTTTCATTATTTCGCACTAATTTAGGTCTGAATAATTGAAACGTAGTATCTTTAGAAAAATACTTTTATCAGTATTTTAATAATTTATGGTAATGAAATACAGCATGAAACACCAATGGCTCTTTCGGCGTTGAAGGCAATATATTCCAATCACGACTCACTCCCGAATAATAATTTTCCCCATTTGCATTTTTTTGCAATTATTTAGATCTTAGTTATTCATCATTGAAATTTCTTTAATTTGAAAAACTATTTAGTGATAAATTTTTGAACACAAATGAAAAAAAAACTTAAAACCACTTTTTTTTCGAATTTTACATTTTGGCTCAAATATAATTTGGATAAACTAACTTATTTTTAACTAACTATTAGACAGTTTTTTATAATTAAAGAATTACCAAAGTACAAAAATACATTTTTACTTGTTATTAGAGTGCCCGAAAAAATATTTAAAAAGGACGCCGGTGTTCTAAGAATGTCAAAGGGTTATATATTATTGGAATAGCTTAAGTCAATTTGCTGGACAATTTCAAACGCTGATTAGCATAACCGGTTTGAGTTTATTACTTTTCACGCCATAAGTGATGCGCATTTTCAAAATTTTGGATCACGCAGTTTAATACTGTTAATAAGCCTTTACTTATCTTTAAGATAATTTCACTATGTATTTGTACATTTCATAACTTTAATCATCAAACTCGTAATTTTAATTCGAACTATTTACAAACATTTTAAGTCGTAATCTCAAACTATTTTTTTTATTGGTTTATTTATTAATTATATTTCAATTTGATTATTGTAATGTTATTGAATTCAATCATGTTTCTTGTCTTAAATGCCTCCTAATGTTCGGCAAGTGAGAGATGAAGCTTTAAAATACCTCTAAGCAACTTAACTGCCATCTCGCGGTTATTAGAATTTTAAAAGCAATCGTTGAGGATGTTACAGACATTATATCTTAAGTACAGTCGATAGAAATTATAAAAAAAAAAACCAAAATTTTTCACTTGAATTTGCTAACTGAAATTCAATAATTACTTTAAGCATTTTTAGCTTTTGCATGCAAATTAAATATCCTAAACATTAAAAATGTAAATCCCTACAGGGCGCCCCCTAGCGGTGGATCGGGGAATGCCCCCATCAGTTTTCCGATGGGTGGAAGGAGGGAAAAAAATACCTCCCGCGGGCCAGCAGGCAGAAGTCCTATCTTTCTGAGGCTCTGGCAACTCTATTCCATGGATTGTGCACACTTGCAGATGCAAATGTAGCGGCCAAAAACAGCCTTCTACATCACACCTTTAAAAAGCCACTTCAACTGTTCTAGAACTTTGACATCGGTTATTGCAAGACTTAGAACCAATCATTTCAGAGGGCTGAAAATTCTCTCGGACAAGACCAGTACATGCGTTCCCTGCAGAAACTGTCCGGATGCCATGTTGACACATATTCGAGTGCCCTGCACCCACTACACATGTTTTGAAAATGGGAATGGTACCAATTGAGGACAATCTAAGAGTTGTTCTCTACAGTCAAGAGGCGCCGAAGCTGGCGGTCTGCAATAGTCCAGACTTTAAATGTTATCTGAAAATCCATGGACACGAAAACAACAACTAAAAATGCAAAAATAAAATGCACTTTACATTTCGATTTACTTATTAAATGTTCTGAGGAGTGGAGGTACAATCTCGTCCTTTTATTACCCCCTCATTGCATAATATAAGCTAGATCTGAAAATAACCACTCATGATAAGGCAAGTTAGCAAAAAAAAAAAAGAAAGAAAGAAAAAAAAAGTGGGAATTTTAATTGAAAAAGTTTCCCGTCCTTTTTCTCCATCTGTTCCTAAAATTTTTTTTATGATAAAAAAACATCAATGAAGAAAAACTCGGGAAAACAGAATTTTCATTAAAATGCCCAATGTTCAAAATTTTGATTCTTTAGAATCCATCAATTTGTGATGGAAAACCTCACGTGGAACGAGAATTCCTTAACAATTCACATCTTTCAGAGTCGTAATGTATGCATTAAATGTATTTTTCCTCCTCAAACATATTTAAATGAAGTTCTTTAAAGTCAGTATGCTTAACTAAATTTTGCCTCATATTTATATTGTGTTTATTGTTAAAGTAACTTTATGTAGCCATAGTTAATTTTTAATATGAATTTTTAAAAAAAAAATTTAATCCAAGGAAAAAAGCTTGAAAGAAGCGATTTTTAAATGGAAAAGACCTATGGATGTCTGTCACTCACAATATGCTAAAATGTTTGCGTTCTTTGTAAAACTATACTTTTTTTAAATATTGTACTAACATTACATCTACAATTATTAATAAGATTTATTACCTAATTAGATTTACTTTATTTATTTAGCTTCATGAACACGAAGTTTTAATTGCACGAATATCCAAATTCAAATACCTAACTATTCTAAATAAAATTTAAGATGGGTATTATCCAGAAGTAAAATCCAATTGTCTAAGTTATTAGGCATAATATATAGTGGCTCAACACTATGGTCTACTTTAGACTAGTTTTTCTTACTTTAAAATTCCTTTTTATCTATGTTTGTTACACAATTTCTTCGCAAAAAATATGTTTTTTTAAAAAACAGCGTATAATGTGTTTATCATTGAATTTCCATGTACCAACATTGTACAACATTGTACACGTTGCGATGTCGTATTACGTAATATTAACTTGAAATGAGAAAACCAAAAAATACAGAAAAAGTAAGGCTAAAAATAAGGTAAAAGTTAAAAATAAATACTCACGCGTATAAAAAAGTATACCATAAAAAATATATTTAGTGCTAAGTCAATCTGCTGCGTAGTGTTTTCGGACCAAGAATGACACGTCTCCACCTTATCGCTGAAAAAAAAAGAATAGTGATTAAAAAATATAAATACAAGAATGCTTCTTTACAAAGTGAGAAGTATCAGTATCTCTATCTAGCAGTCTAAATGACGTCAAATTCTTAAATTTTTTTATTATTTTGATATAGGATAGAAGATTCTGTGAAAATAAAAATGTAGTGTTAAACATCGTCTCTGATGGTGGCTTTTAAACAAATCTCTGCCCGTGCATGAAAACTAATGTAAAATGGAAATGTGTAAAAATAGAAAAGGGTGTCATAAAAAATAAATTCGTGAATAAAAGAGGAAAAAAATGATATACGTGAGTATTTATAAAGTGAGAAGTATCGGTATTTCAATCTAACAGTCAAACTGAAGCTTTAAAAAAATTTATGATGATGATTTAATTCTTTAAAAAAATTAATGATGATGTAAAATAGAAGATTTTGTGAAAATAAAAATTTAATTTCAAATGTAGCCCAAATCACTGATGGTGACTGAAAACTAATGTATTATATAAATGTATTATATAAATGTATAAAAATAGAAAAGGGTATCATTAAAAATAAACACGAATAAATTTTATAAGTGATGTAAGTGAGTGTTTATGAAGTGAAAAGTATCTATATCTCGATCTAACAGTCGAAATGACGCAAAATTCTTTTAAAAAAATCAATGATGATATAAGATAGAAGATTTTGTGAAAGTAAAAACTTGGCTTTATCTCCCGAATCTCTGATGGTGGCAGATAACTAATGTATAAAAGTAGAAAATGGTATCATAAAAAAGTAGACACAATAATAAAAGAAGAAAAAGTAAGATAAGTGAGTGTTTATAAAGTGAGAAGTATCTGTTGTTGCTGTTGTTGCTAATTCCCATCTGGTCTGACGGGGTCAGACCAGATCAATAAATCCGTTGACATTAAGAAAATCCGAAACCAGAATGGGAGAGGAATGAATGTCGTTCCAGTCCAGTCCTAAACAGTTCAAGATGTGCTCAGGTGATGCCTGGTTTTGTTGGCATTTAGGGCAAAGAGGAAAGATCTTTTGATTAGCAGAAAATGTGAGACTTTTCAGGTGTCCACTGGCCAGTCGGGATAAGCAGGTGTTGGTTTGCCTGTCACCAGGAAGAGATAGAGAGAGTCCTGGTCTTTTTGCTTTATACCAGTAGTGAATAGGTGGAAGCAGCCACTTTTGTTTGTTCTGGGCCTTTTGCCTTGCAAAAAGTTCAAGGTATGTAAGCTCTGAGGTGGAGGGGACTGGATGGTCTAGTCCCTTCTTTGCGAGAGTGACAGCCAACTCGTTGCCGTGGATATCGACGTGGGACGGGATCCATTGAAAGTGGACCTCATGCTGCTGGGAAATGAGCTTTACTTTTTGTAAGATCTAAAAACTGGTTTTATCTCCAATGAGGGCCCAATTTTTGAGGTATTGAATTGAACTACGGCTGTCAGATAGTATCCAAGTATTTCCAAGGTGCCCTTCACTCAAGATTTTCTCTAGTCCCCTGTCGATTGCAATTAGTTCGCTTCGAAAGTCGGAGCAAAAATCGGGGTTTTGTTGATGAAGAGTGTAGTTCTCTCGAGGTGTTTCAATAAATACTCCACTGCCAGTCTGTCTATCCATTTTACTGCCATCAGAGAATATTTTGATGTCATTTGGAGGGATTTTATTGATGATTTCCAGGGACAATTGTCTGAGGAAGTCAGGCACACTGTCTTTATTATCAAGCATGGCTGGGAGGCTTTCATGGAAACTAACATTGGAAAGATCCAAGCAAGTACTGAGATTTTTATGAAGATAAGGAGGTTCAATATTTTCAGCGATTAGCAGTTGTGATTTAACATGACTAAAAGGACTGTTTTTCTTTAGCCTTTGATTGCACGTCCAATTATTTAGGTAAATAGCAGTTAAATTGCCTTGGTCTAAACTGGAAAGTTTATTGTAATATTTCACTAAATTAGCTTGCCTTCTGAAGTTAAGAGGTTGCAGATCTGCTTCATAAAGAACGATCTCTGAAGGGCAGCTACGTTTCAGTCCAGTGATGATGCGAGCGGCGCTCAGTTGAACCTTTTCCACTTTGTTTAAGTTAGATTGAGAAGCACAGCAGTAGACAGGATAGCCATATTCTAAAATTGGTCTAACAAGAGCCTGGTAGGAAGTCCTAAGAGTAGTTGCATCTGCTCCCCAATCCCTACCAGCGATACACTTAATAATATTTAGGCGCTTCCTAGCCTTCGAGACAATATAATCAATATGTTTATTACTTGTAAATTCGGGATCGAGAATGCATCCCAGGTATTTTGGGTGTTTCTGTATCTGTATCTCAAACTAACAGTCAAAATAACGCTAAATTCCTTAAAAAAAAATTAATGATGGCATAGGATAAAAGATTCTGTGAAAATGTGTAAAAATAGAAAAGGAAGTCATAGCAAATAGACATATGAATATAAAAGGAAGCATGACTGAAAGACTGGACAAAAATTATTATTACCAGAAAAAATACGATTCAATTGCGGTTCACTTGTATTAAACTTTAAAATCTATTACCATTGGAAACTGTAGATGTAGTTTCCATATCATAATAAAAATATTTTAACAGTCAAATTTAATGTGAAATGGTATTTTGTTCTTAAAAAAATTCTGACCTTTTAAAAAAAATATAATAATAAATATAATAATAAATGAGAAGTAATGAAGGTGTTGGTGAACGGGGCGAGCAGTTCAGGACTTCTTTAGCATTGTTTTTGATAAAAAGAACTTCATATATAATATTTAGATATCGGTTGTAATTATTTTCATATCAGTAACTTCCGTATTATTTTGGTGTACTTGAAGTTACAAAACACAAAAAGAAATTTTTAGCTTATACTTAAAATCATTTTATAGTTATAAGATTATAATTTGCTTTCTTAGTGCAAAAGCTTGGAAGAATATTCAGAAATAAAACAAGATTTGTTTCAAAACAAAAATATTGTCTTTTGTATCAAGTAATTTAAAGTTTAAACACGTCGCAGAGAAAATTACCAAAAAAAATTTAAAAAAACTGCGGAAGCATTTACGAAAACATTCATTAAACTAGAAATTTTACAACTTTCTAAATTACCAGCTAAGGAAAGCGATTGTTTAAGAGGTAAGACAAAAGCTGGGATTTTTAACAACTTTTTCAGTTATAAAACAGCTCTTTAAAACTCATCTCTCGTAAAAATAGATTTTTCCTTATCACTAGGGATGAGTTGGAGAGATAATTTCGTTCTAAATGAGTATTACAGGGAATAAATATATCAAGCGAGTTTATTACCAGACCTAAGAGTTTCTGGTAAGTAATCAATGCTTTTTGGAATAAAGGAAATATAATGAAATTGTACCCTGACGATGTTTGGTCTCTTAATCCCACAAAAGCCATAATATTCGTGTAATTTGCAACAATGCGAGAAGAATAATCGCGGCCATTTTGAGACTTAGAGAACAATTCATAATGCTATGCTCATTTATTGCTGATAATCTTGCTTACGGAGTCATGAACAAGTCAAATGAATATTCTGGGGATGGCATAGACTGTCCTGGAAGAGGCAGGATTATGTATTTGGGAGGAAAGAGGATACAGGCTTTTCCCAAATATATCTTCGGTAAATAATCTTTTCTTGATGATATTATTACTCTCGTGTTGCATTTCATTAAGAGTTATGCAAGAAGAGGAGGACCTATCTTGATATTAAGTTGACAAGAAAACATTAATATCAAAGGTGGACACTGGTATTACTGACTCCTGGACGAAATTTGCTGTAGGCCTCTTTCTCAAAATAAAAAAAATGTTTTGTTATTAATATTTTGTAAAATTAAGATATTTTATTCAAAATTGTAGTTTTTATTACGAGTTAAAGGAATTGCGTTTAAATTTCTTTTAAAAGCAATTAAAGAAGGCAAAATTATTTGTATAAAGTTTATTTGGGCCCTGAGACAATTGTTCCTCTCCCCCTCTCCCTAGAGCACGACCTTGATTGATATTACTTTAATTAGCGTGGTATTTATATACAATTCATATTTAATTTTAAATGAACCATAATCTATATAAATAAAGCAAAATGCTTATAAGTATGTCCGAAATTCTAAATCAGTCCGCACCAAATTTGATGTACATGATTTCGAAGACATAGTTGACCTAACAGTCTACTTTAAAAGTTCCTCCGAATACCGGTAGGAGTGTTTCATCCCAAATAAAGAGTTTTCCATAAGAATTGATAAATAATTTTATAACACAAGTGACTTCCTAACTTGCAGCTCTAATCAAGCAAGAATTTGTTTTACCACACGTTCTTATCAGTTACTTATCTTCAGTTTCCTGTGTTTGATTATTACAAGTATAATCAGCATCAATGGTGTTGACGACATAGGGTGATGCTGTCAAAGATTTTGTATTTCGAAGCAAACTCTAAGAGAATTCATAATTTTCCCTGATATCGAAAAATTAGTGTTAACGTGGTTCATAATACTGAGATTCGAGTGTACTGGTTAAAAATGATCATAGACTAAAGAACAATTAAAAACCATTTTCATTTTTTATGCTATATTTATGATTATTTCACATTTTTTTGTGATCTTAAATGTTACATTAAATAGATAATTTTTTTAACGATTAATAGTTGGAGATAATTTTTAAAAATTATTATTGCCATGCTAAACGCATAATTTTTTATAACTGTTAATGAAGCCTAGTGTTAAATGAAACTTTGTGGATCAATATTATATATTCAAATACTAATTACTTTTTACTTAAAACGATGATGAAAGGCTTTGCCTTATTAATGCTTTCAGGAAGGATGAAGTAGAAAAGTGTTCTTTCCGTTTTTTAATTGCTTTTTTGTATGATTTGTTTTGTTTCTGAAGTTTCTATTTTAACTCATAAAACAGCTTTATAATTAGCGTTTTAATTGCGATGTTTCCTCAATCAAGTAATATTCACTTAAAAGAAAACATTATTCAAGTTGTTTAAATAAATAATTTTTATAACCTTATT